TCTGCCAAACGCTGTACGTGTACATACAGTGGCCGCGCGGTCTAGTGCATGGACCGTCTTCGCCCACCCTAACACTGGGATCGTGGAATGGAATCCAACTCGAGGCATGGATATCTGTGCGTTTATTCTGTGTTTGTGTTGTTTTGTGTGCAGGTAGCGGCCTTGCGACCGGTTGTTCCCCCGTCCAAGTGTATAGCGTTAAGAATATGAAAGAGCGGCCAAGGTCCTGAAGGGCTCCAGAGCCAGAGAGAGAGAGAGAGAGAGAGAGAGATTTATGGTATTTTGCTGCTGTAAAATAAATTCAGTAATTTCATTCCGAGGTCACTGAGCCTGTGTCATAGAAAATAGCTGGTTGTCATACCTGTTTCTCACATTTCCAAGCAAACTGTAACATTGCTGTGTCCCTGAACACTAACGCTTAAAAAGTAGAAAGAATTTCCGATATGTAAAATGAAAGTATACTAGCGTTCTCGCTCAGAAAAAATCTGCCCTGAAATTTTGGAACAACCGTTGTTATTCATAGTGTTTAGTGACGTTTGTCGTTATGAGAGTCTTAGGCTCAGGCTCCATTCTTGACCTTCAGAAAGTTTTTGCTGGACGTGCCATAAGGCTGTAGAAACATCACGCTATGCTCTAGTTTACAAATTGTGCTGGATTTGAGGTCTTCACGGCGGTGACTACGAAGAATACGATATAATGTTTGTAATGCCGTGTAGTTTGGAGAGCTCCCGACGTTTCGGAAGAATATATCGCTTCCGTCTTCAGGATAAAAGAGTGAGCCAAACAGGAAACCAACCAAAGAAAGCAAAATCTAAGGTTGGTTTACTCTTCGACCATACATGCCATTGCAACCCAAGAGACCGTGTTCGCTGTTTGTAGGAAACTCAAGGCAAACCATTACGGCCTTGTAAATTAGTAGCAACGCGAATCTCTAACTATCTGGTCACGCAATGGCAATGAATGAAAAATTCGCATATGAACAGCCAATATTGAGCGCAAATACGTGTTGACGTCACCTAAACATAAGCCGGATACACACATGCCCATTCTTCTGTAACGTAGCAGGGTTCGACTTGCGTGTTGTAGCTTTCAGATGCGTTCACATGTGTACATCTGGACGAAGGTTCGAATGAACAGGTGGCATATTCGCGGTTCACAATTTGTTCGCAGATATTGGTTGACACACATCGTCTTTACCGACAGCTGGCTCAACTTTTATATTCATAAATCATATTTTGTACTCAGCTGTGTAGAACTGCGCATAGTGTTGCGCTTGTTGGAGGACATGGAGTTCCAAGAAATTGATGGAAAATACGAGCTCAAAATATTTACTCGCAAGCCACCAGCAGATTTTGAATTCCTTATGAATTTAATCAGCCCGAAAATTACGAATAAGGGTACTACTTGCAGAGAAGCCATTCCAATTGAAGAGAGACTGGCAGTTACGCCGAGGTTTTTGCTATGGGCGATTCGTACAACTTGCAATACCCTTTGAAAATTTCGAAATAATCAGTCAGTCCTATTATTATAGAAGTTTTCAAGCTATTCTTGAGGCATTGAAATAAAACTTACAGGTGAGAAATTGTTTAATTTTAAAATGCAACTTTAAGGAAATTTAACAGCAGAACATTACATTCCAAGTTTCCCGAGTCAGCAGAAGACTGAGTGGCAGAAACTGAAGCCTGGGCACAAGGGAACGAGATGGGAGCTACACGAATTCCATATTTCATGTTGAGGGCACTGAGATCAGTGTAAAAAATTATGTTGTTAACGGCATTCTGGACTACAGTTAGTGAACGCGAAGAATAATTCGGCAAATTATTTCAGATTAAATTTCCGAAACTGTGATATTCATCTTCTGTTGGTGCGGCTGCTGAAACGGTCTAAATATTAAATGCTGCATCCAACATTGCCTCTACTCCTGTGTGTTTTCTCCTTTTTATTTGGATTAGGACCGGAGGAAGATTTAGGATCTCAATTTCTTCAGCAGGTTCAACTGAAATAGCACCTCCTTCTTCCATTCGTGCTGGTTCATTTGCATAATTTGGACAATAACAACACTGATATAATTTTAAGAATACCAATTATAGGAAAATAACATTTCAATTTTTATTGTTTATACCTCTTTCATATACTTATATACAAAAAAAAACTGTTAGTTATCTGTACTTCTTCTGGCTTATTTTGGACTTCATCCATCGTCTGGTATGTAAAAGACAAAAGACCACGACGTTTCGGAGGCTGGATCTGTCTCCCAGGTGGGTTAGAAAGAGCTAGTCTCAATCACTGGTCTGAATCAACGGAGACAGATCCAGTCTCCGAAACGTCGTGTTTTTTTGTCTTTTACATACCAGACGGTGGATGAAGTCCAAAATAAGCCAGAAGAAGTACAGTATACACCATCGTCAGAATCCTTTCAAGTCTATCTATGTTAGCTATCTCCAAACAGTTTTATAAATTGTCGTATTTCCGACATTACTCGGGAGGCTTTGCGATGAGCGGGCACCCTTCATTAGTGGAAATGTTTTTTACGGTTACAAATCTACACTCAACAGCGTTCTGTTCGCTTTAGACGAAGCTAGTTGCAATTAATTTTATATTTGCGGATGCAGGCTTTCAAGGAAAAAATGTGCTGGAGGCGTCTTCAGGGGCTGTAAACTGGCTCATTAGATTTATTGGTACCAGATGCTTGACAGGAAGAAATAAGGTAATACCGCATTGCCTTGCTGCCGATGAAGCGTTTCCCTTACAAGAAAATATGAAGGAAATTCTTTCAGGAATGCATTCTGAAGGATCAATTGAGAAAAAATTAATTATCGCCTATGCAGAACACCTAGATTTGACAAAAATGTATTTGTAATTACTTCCTCCGCTTTCATAGTGCTACTAAGCCGATGTCACAACACTCTGAAAGAGTGAATGGTCACGGAACATCTTAACAGCTTTTTGGTAGGAAGTGCTCATTAGGCTCGTGTTTGGACACCGTCAGACACATTGGATCATGAGACAGAAGGGAGCCTACCCGAAGGAAGCTGGAGGAACATGGCCAAGGGAAATATGACGTTGTTACATCACATTTAAACAATGACGCGCAGGTTTGCACAGATGTAGAGAAAGTCAGAGAAGAAGTTGCACAGCAGTGCAAGAAAGGAGGACGTATTTCATGGCAAGATATTCATAAATTAATACTTAGCTGTGCTCAGCTCTTGTAGTTTGTCTCGATCTAGAAGGAAGGCCATAATTTTGTAGGAAATCCAGGTGTTTTTTTCTTATCTACAAAATACAGTTATCTGCTTTCATTATACGTAATAAGTGATATGTAAGTTTATAAAATGATAGAGAAATGCGTTAATGTTGGACATAAATACAAGTATTATGAAGAGAGTACCTCTTATACTAAAACTTAAAGTACTAGTAATTGTAATAAGGTTTGTATCCTTAAATTTCGAATACAGCATACATAGGAGTTCCATAGCTTTTCCTAATCTTTTTTTTTTNNNNATGCTCACTATATAAATTTGTTGTTATCACGGTTGGTTTTGGTGTTTGTCCCAGGCATTCACTACGGCGCTTCTTGAAGAGTAGACTTTACGTACGTATGACGTTTCTTTTAAGCGTATTTGCTGGGTATTCTGACTGGGATTTTCCACTGCACGCGATGTGATATTCAGTTTTTCATACATTAGCCTCCCACTGTATTTAAAATTGTATTAAAATTTTGCATGTAAGAAATAAGTTATTATGTTAAAATATCTTGAGCCGACATTGAGTCATGTTGTTTTCCTCCTGATGGTGGGAGATGTCGTTTATATCTCTTGATTTTGTGTTCTTATTATTAGTCGTGTAAGTCACGTGCGTGCTGTGTCGTTACTACACGACTAATAATAAGAACACAAAATCAAGAGATATAAACGACATCTCCCACCATCAGGAGGAAAACAACATGACTCAATGTCGGCTCAAGATATTTTAACATAATAACTTATTTCTTACATGCAAAATTTTAATACAATTTTAAATACAGTGGGAGGCTAATGTATGAAAAACTGAATATCACATCGCGTGCAGTGGAAAATCCCAGTCAGAATACCCAGCAAATACGCTTAAAAGAAACGTCATACGTACGTAAAGTCTACTCTTCAAGAAGCGCCGTAGTGAATGCCTGGGACAAACACCAAAACCAACCGTGATAACAACAAATTTATATAGTGAGCATTATTCATAGCTTAAGTGCATATGGTTAAAACATCTTATGTGACAGTGTTTCCTGATCATAGTGGTGCGCCTCTGAGGATGATTCTTTTGAATCGAAACATGTAAGGTGAAAAAGACTGAAGTGTTGTAAACTTGTATGTCACACTGGACTGAAAATTGTCCACTCTGTAAGTGAAAATAGACTTATGCCTACCCCAGGAACTAGGTCCACTCAGCCTCGTGAGGATAATTGAGGAGCGAAATGAATGGAAAAGTATCTGCTCCGGTCTAGAAAACCGAGATTAACGGCCTTGGGAATCCGTTGCGCTGACCACGCCACGCCCTCAATTCGCAAATATGCCACCAATTTTGCCAACAAACGGTAGTCGCTCGGTCGGTATATTTCGCTTGCGGACTAAAAGCTACGGAGTTTGTTTTGTTTAAGGTGTATAAAACTTATGACTTCTTTGTCTGAAAGGAAAATTAGAGGGGAATCGTTTACATTGTACAAAGAATCAGTGGATGACCAAAAGACTAACTTCATCGCTGTTTCCTAATGACTAATTGTCATTTTAATATTTTTGTTAATGAAAATTCAAGATGTGTCTGACTAGACACAACATTGCACTTTGCGAAATAATAATGCATATACAAATATTAATTATATATATTAATATATATAATATAATATAATAAATACTATATGTAGTGATTTACGCAACAGAACGTAAGT